AGGATTATGCAACCCAACTATCAACATCTCCTGTGAATCACAATCTTAGGAACACTGTGGGCTGCTTACTGTTTAAATCCATGTGTTTTTATTCAAAAAATTTAACCGAATATCCGTTCCTATTTAGAAGATCACGAATATTACCGAGTTTTTTTACGTCAAGTCGGTCAGTTATTGATACACTTGGCCCCTTTTATGAATTTGAGTAGAGTAAGAACGACAATTTGTTCAGAATAATATGGCACCATTATCATTTATTTCGTTAGCTCCTCATCAGCTGCTTAAAGCATAAATAAATTATTATCAAGTTCACGTACAGAAAAATTTTCAACATTACTTGCAAATTTTACATGATGTTAGTTAAAGGACGTTCCGGACTTGGTGAATAGCACTCAGAAAATCCCACTTATGTAGTTTCAACACCGACATTTCAAGTCTAAACAAAGTAAATGTATGCATACAATGGTAAGGGAGTTACGTAATAAAGACGAGAGGTAGGTTACATGATGAGTAACTAACAAATTCGGTAATAATCGACTGAGTTCAGCTCAAATCATAGAAACAAGAGACCAGTAAAACTACACTACATCAAAATGGGGCTGTGTGAGGTTAAAGCCAAGCATTACGTGGTCAAATGAAATAGAGAATAAAGACATCCAATTACCTGTAGCTAACATTCCCTCAGTTTCTTAATTCTTGTGATGAAACTTCTATGTGTATAGTTTTGCACTAATCAATAAGCAATTAGATCAATGTGATGAATGGAATAATCAGTGTAAATATCATTACAATAAAAAGGAATTAAGTGGCACCAAAGACTGCTCAGTAGTCAATGTACGTATTATAAGAACAACGATTATTGATTTGATCTTTCAAGACAAAGGAAGAAATTGAGATGGGTGAATCACAAAATGTTTAAATCTCAGCTGTTAGACTTTCTTCGTGAACTGAAATCAGATGAAAAAGTCACTATAATCCAGAGGGCACCGGAAAGTCATCCCATCCTATTTTGGGATCCATCATCAGTCCACACCCACAAACATACCAAGGATCGAACTTGGGATATTCAAGTTACCAGATTACGTTTGTCAATCATTCGGCCACTTGGGCTGAAATCCATTGACTCGTGAATTCTAATTTTGTCTATTCGTATAATTTAGCGTTGCCCTGACAAGTGCTGTCACAGTCACTTGTTCACTAATTCAGACAAAATCAAATGACTAACTCTCAATTAAAAAAGGATTTCCATATTTATTATCATTATTATTACTGTTTCCTTTGGTTCCTAGAAGAACATAGGGCTTCAGCCGTACGTCTCCATTGCGTTCAGGTCTCTGCCAACATTTTCACCATCTGGCTGCACGTCTGCTCACATGCTTTCATCTCCTCTTCACATCACCTCCTCCTCCATGTCATTCTCACACTGACGACCAACTCGCCGCTTCCCATTCACGTTCCACTTGAGTAATGGCCTGGCGTGTGATGTCACTCACTTGATGGTTTTCTCAGAGTATGTCCAATTCACCTCCTTTATTTATTCCTGCATATTTTTTTCACAATTGCTTCCTGACGGGTTGGTTCGCTTTCAGAAATCCCCATTGCTGATCTTTTCTGGCTGGCCATCTGGTCTTGAGTAGTATTGAGCAACGACAGCTGTTGATGAAGGCCTGTAGTTTATTAATACATATATATGTATTTTCTAAAGGCGAAGTTTCTTGCAAAACGTGAACAGTATTATTGTCAGGGTGGTGATAAGTTAATGAAAGTCCCTTCGATAACTACCCCTTGTGCTTTTCCTGCTAACTGTGTATATCAGTTCACATTTAACCTTGGAACAACACAAAGAAAGGTGCGTGTCAGATTCTTTAGACATATACCAAACAAACTTTAATTAAAGGGGCCGAATAGGTTGAACTCGTCAATTACCGGACACCTAATAGACACCGGACACCCAGAAGACACCTTCGCTCAAGTCTTCTTCGGTTTTCTGAGACTACGTCAATAAAACAAATGAAACCTAACTGTTGTATTTAAAAGTAATCCGTTATGGCGCTTCAATTAATTGCCCTGGCGAATTTCTTCTCAATAACTCTTTATCTTCTGATTTCTTCATTTTGTTCCAATTCCTCTCCACATTTTTCGCCTGACTTTCATATGAGACTTAATCTTTGACTCTTTGAATTCTAATCACTGCATTACATCATCATTATCTTTTCATTCTACTGCCTAAAGAACAGATTTTGAATTTCCAATCTTATGAGTTCTACTCATTGTATTTTATTGTCTCTGATCAAGCAATTATCATGGACTTCTCACCACCCTAACAACAAATTTGTACACTTTTCCGAGAAACTTACAGCCTACAACATGTATGTTTGTACTAATAACCTGAGGAAGTCTTATCACCCTAATGTTTTGTTTCACTATGACTTCCTTCCTCCGAATGTAACCGCCACTGCAAATACATGTGAATTTGTATACACAGTTGGAGTTAACATGAGAAAGGTATCTGTCGACTTTTGAATACAGCAAGGAGGAGGAGCATGTTGTCCAATAGACGGGAACCAACTTAGCTGTAGGATAGACTCTACGTTATGACGTAGTCAATCTTCCGTTGACTACTCCGTTGACACCCACTGTGACTTATTTGACATATGAACCTTCACATCTTCAATACTTGTTGATGAATCTCTTAGGGTAGCTATTGTTTTCCAGAATCCCTTCGAGAATTACAAATTTTACCGCATATTTTTCTGTAGATCAAATTCTCTCTCTTCGAAGACTTGGCGTGTAAATCACCAAAAGCACTTTTCATTAGCCTGCTTCAGAATTTTATCACAGCCTGTTTTTGATGGCTGCGTAATAAAGGTCAAATAGCCTACTAGAAAGAAAGGATTAGTCTCAAGGAGTTCCATCAGACAATAAAGTGACCAACAACCTATCGCCCAACAAGAAGGCTACAGGAAATGGAGATAGATTGGACAAAAGTTGAGAAAACCACTGGTCGACATCACATACCAGTAGAGTTCTCGATTGAAACACAAATAGGGAACAAAGAGTTGGGAAAGAGTCTGAGCGTTACACGAAGGAGAAAATGAGGGCTTATGGGCAGTCATGAGGTCAGTTAACGAGGACTGCAGAGGACGGGACTAAATGGAGCCCTGAGTTCCACTTGGAACCCAAGGGAATAATAATAGTAATGATAAAAAACGGTTGCAACGAAGAAAATTTTCTTTTCGACGAAGTCACCGTCATCTAGGCTGTACATTCATGTATTTATGATAAACAGATGGGAAAGTTCCAGAATAATTTCTGGTCAAGGGTCAAATTAATAAAATTACAATGAGGAAATAAAATGCCATGATAAACAGAGGGAGGACGGGTAAAACTTAAAGAAAGTAGCATCATAGTTACTGAGAAGATTGACATATTGTTCACTAAGGGGTTAGAAATGTAGAAATAAAAAAAAACAAGCAGGATGGTTGGATAAAAAATCTAGTGGGATCATACCTAATGTGACGAATAATTGTTTATGCAACCACGGATTAGATATGTAGAAATAATAAAATAACATGAATAAAAAGGAAGTTTGGATAAGAAAGGCAATGGGATGGTTATTACTTAAAGAATCATCTGTTTGTGATGGCCACAGGAGGGACAAGGGTTGGACGTACTTCTTTTGGATACATAGCGTGGATTTGAGTTTTTAGATGGCTAGTGCCTCGGTTATGCCCAAATGTCTTAATGTCACTCCCTTTGATAGGTTTCATCGGCTCTTGTCTATGATTTTGAAGGAATTGTTGAGCGGCACTGAATGTCCTGAATTGATCGAATGTTCTGTCACTGAATTAATATACACGTTTTTGTTCTTCTTTTACTCGCCAGGCTGGATAGTATTCACGAGCACGTTTTTTTAGTTGCCGCATGGTACGCCGATGTACTCAGCTCCACACCAGCAAGTAAACTGAAGTGGCCCAATGCGATAGGTTGTCTTTCGCGTTCTGGCAGGAAAACATAAGTCGTAGGTTCGCGGAAAATTATGTTTTCCTCAGAGATTTGGAGAGGCGTTTACGAAAGATTTCTGCTTAATAATAGAACCAACTCTTTTCATCCCCACTATCAGTTTTATTATTGTTATTATCATTGCATGCGTTACCTGGACACAACAAGATCATCGATGTATCCATACATATACATAGACACAAACATTCTTGTGAACAATTGAAAATTAGCATAAAAGGTAATATTTATTTACTTATGCGTGTACACATCTAGACCTAGGCGAACAATGAGAATAGAATTCTTACAGATTATACAGGCATACATATATATAGGTAGATATATGTACATATTCATATACATATATATCTCAAAAATCGATAAAAACTGGTTTTTTGAATTCTACTTACCTATTGTCCTTCGATTACACTCACTCACTCTCTCACTCACTAACAAAGTCATTAACACACTGAAATACGCGTACATACACTCCTCTAGATTACTAATATTACTAATACTATTACTATCCTCACTATCTTACCCACACACAAAGGACACAACTCAAATGACCTCGTGTACCTGATGATTTCAGAAAAATTATCAATTGAAGGATATGTATTTCTATGACCTTTGAGGCAAAAGAAAATATATATATATATCTACATATATGTTTAAATAATCAACATAAGAGTTAGAAAGGGGGAATAATCATGTTTACAGGCAGAAAATAATTCCTAATTAACTAATTAATTGGTTTATAAATTGAATAATAATAATAATAAGAATAACAATTACAATTGTTATTATTGGGAATAATAATTATACCTGTAAAAATTTACTGGTCTATTCAAAACATATACTATAAAGTAGTTGAAAAGCAAAGGATTTACAAAATTGGAAGACATTGTTTAAAACATAAATCTGGACTATTCGTTGAAGAATCAGCACTAATCAATTATTATTATTATTATCATTATTATTAATATTATTGTTTGACAAATATGGGATGTGGGGCAAGTGGATTAAAAGATACTAAATCAGGTGAGTAAATACTAGTTTTTGTGATCAATATATTATTATTATTATTACTACTATTATGATTCCCTTGGGTAACAAAAGGAACATAAGTTAGCAGTCTTCTTTACCTGGCTTCACCTTACCCATCGACGCAAAAGTCATCGCTTACAATTCGAGTTTCACTCGATAGCTTGTGTGATGAATGGATTTACCCAACGGTCACCTTAGTGTACATTCAGAGTGTTTTTTGTTTCAACCTTCTTAGTCGGACTTTTGATCTTGACTAGGAGGCCGACTACAGTTGCAGCTGTGGATGAAAGCTTGAGCTTCCGGTGACGTGCTCGCCAAATTTCTGATATTAGGGTTGATACTATGAATGTTGTTCTTTATGCGGAGTACTGTAGATTTTTTAGACTAATTTATGGCTGGCTTTAAAGTCTTTATCTGTGCTGCTGGTATTTGTAGCAGGCGACTTTTTTTCACTTTCTCCCATTGACGGTGATTGGTGCTTGTTGTTGTTGTTGTCGTTATTATTTTGATAACTTTATTACCTCAGTCATCTTTATGTCCAATTGAATTGCGCCTTTGGTGACGACTAATTGATTTTAACCTGTAGATGTTTGAGTTTATTTGACATTAGTCGTCCAAGAAGCTCCAAATTTTCTAGAAATTCTTTATCGGTCTAGAACATTTCTGCCTTCGACCTCCCCATGGTTTGCCACATGATTCAGTCCAACACACAACTATGAATATCATCAATGATAGTGGACAGGATTTGCATTTCCATCCCTCTATTTGTTTTACATACGGTGCCACAGTGGCTGGCTCTGTAGATGGACTCTGATACTGATTTCATACAGAGGGCTAGTTTCGCATATGCCAGTTTATACCGTCTCTGGCGTAGACGTGATATCCGGCTGGCCGGCTGTCGACCGAAGGGCGTGTGTACTGCTCAACAGTCCGCTCCGTCCTCCTTTATGGCTGTGAGACCTGGCCATTGAGAGCAGAAGATATGAAAAGTCTGGCTAGCTGTCTTTGATAATAGGTGTCTGCGTTCTATCTCCCGTGTGAAATGGTATAATAAGGTGAGCAATATTGAGGTTAGGCCATCGGTCGAGTGCTAGGTAAGGTGGGGAAATCAATCGACGAGACTGTGAAAATACATCGACTGAGATGGTTAGGGCATGCGTTACGTATGTCCAGTCATCGCCTTGCTCGACAATGGGCAATGTTAGCTGATATAGGGTCAGGTTGGAAAAGAGCTAGCGGCGGTCAAACGAAAACATGACTTCATCAGTCAATGAAATCCACAACAGTTAGTTTAAGCCAGCTCGCCATGTAGGAAGGTGTAGACTTCCTGATTGCCTGGTTGGAGGCCTCAGGACGGTAAAAACCAATGAAGGCTGGAAACAATTGGTGACATGGCTCAAAGTGATCGTTCTCAATGACAGCGCGGATGCATCCACTCCTTGTGACTTACGATTTCCAATGAAACTGTTTTGTTCTTCGTTATTACTATTCCTTTGTCTCACACCTCTGTTTACTGTCTCTAATATGCATTTCTCCTACTTTCTTCTCTTGCTTTGTGTGCTACAAGGAGAGAGGGTGGCGACTTGAACTGCCGCACATATGTGCAAAGTTCTATGTCGAAAACAGACAGACAGACTGATTTTATGGGAGTAGGTAGTCCTTTCACCTACCTCCCGCTCACATTTCACTAGGGAGAGAGCCTATCACGTGATATCACCCAACGGTTTCCTCATCATGTGTCCAATCCATCCCTATTTCTTCGTCATTATTTATTAGGTTATGACTTCTTAATTTGGTTCATTCATAGATGTTGCTAATGGTTTTCTTTCCGGTTGGCCGGCCATGTGATCTTCAGTATTGAGCTGGTGGAGGCAGCTGTTGATGAAAGTTTGTAATTGCCATTTTAGAAATATTTTTCCTGATGTGTGGGCTAAGTCTGTGAACCACCAACTTGGCACTAGCACTGGAAAACCGAATGACTATCTATTATACCGAGTACAGGGGATTTTATTACTGATTTCTCAGTAATAAAGATCTGTCCTGCTATTCTAATCCTGACTGATTTTGACAGTCTCATCTATGCTGCCTGTAGTTGAAACGATGCTTTCACAGTGTATGAAACTGGTTGCTTCCTAAAAATTTCTCCCGTTGATAGTGGTGGATGCCTTTATTATTGTTGTTGTTGCTGTTGGTCAAGTATCTTCATCCCCTCTGTCTTCTTTATATTCACCTGAAGTCCTGTCTTCGCCTCTTACCTTTTCTGTTGATTTGTTGGTATTCGCGTGACCTTGTCATCAGAAAATCAATCAGATATCTGCGGAAACTTCTCTTCGAATGTCCTATGAGTGTTACTTTTAACCTTTTTCTAAATATTCTGTCTACTCACTCAGTGCACCTAATATTTGAAGGAAATATAGAAGTATCAATGGTGTCTGTTGACTTTATCGATTGTATTTGAGTTGCCTAGATCTATCTAACATATCTGATTGATATAGAGTTATAAAAACAAAAGAAATAGTAGAATCCAACGAATATGCACTGAAGAAACATTTGATGACGAAGAAATAAAGTTGACACAAACTCTGGTTGCCACAATAATAATTATTCAGACAAGTTCATTAGGAGATATAAAGTAGTCAGAACACCAAGACCCATTCTCCAACTAGCCCCTAAGAAAGACGTATATATCAAGCTACCCTATTTATGGGTGATCATAGCAGCTTGGTAACTCGAAAACGGTTGAATGGTGTGGTTAAAAGACTTTTTATGCAGCTAAGATTATAATAATTGATAATGTGAAGCCAATATATCCATCTAAGCCTTTAGAACATAAGAAAAACGGTGTCACATATCACTGTATTTATCGATTCTGAATGTACGTTTGGCCACACATAAATAAGGAGGACTCATCCACCTCTGCAAGTAAGGGTTGGCTTCAGACTATCTAATTTCAGAAGAAAAAGAATCCCCAGAACTCATTAATGTTGAGAACAGAAGACCTAGCTCCTCTACTGCTAAACATTTTACAGAGTAGGCAGGACATAAAATTGATGTTAACACACGTCTTTTAAACCTATCTATAAAACGTGTTTGATGGAGGGCGTATCGTAAAGTTTGTGGAAGCCCTAGTTGGCATTTAGGAAGTTTAAACCACCTTTATGCATTCGACGCAACAAATCATCATCACACTAAACCACCTTCCTTAGTAAACTTTGTTGCGATGCCAGCCAGGGTAGATGTATTATTACCTCTCTTACTTGGTTTAGTGATCTTCATTGCTATTTCGACTTTCACTATGCCCTTTTAACTTGACCTAAGTCTATTTTATTACCACTTAACTCTTTATTAATTTCATATATATACTCTCCTATGACAAGTTGGTGTGTGATCAGATTGTTCGAAATGTATTGCACAAATACACGTTACACGATTCAGAAAAATTACGTCTTCTTTGTCTAGAAGACTATAAGAAATCAACTTTCGTCGCTGAGATAATGAGTGTACATAGACACTCGATTTTGATGGAATCCTAACTTGATTAGTTGTCAACTTTTAACAGTTACTGATCATAATATTTTATAGCCTACATTCACTGACGGCAAATGCTTGAATACACGATTACTGAATGTGATAATTTTAAGGATAGGCATAGTTTCCACAAATCGATAAATTTCCAATATTCTAACATTTATCCACGCATTTTCAACACAAATATGAAGTCGGTTCTTCTATACGGGTCAGAAACTTGGCCAACCTGTAACGGAAAGGATTTCCAACAGGTTGCAGAATTTTATCAACAGCTGCCACCTTCGCTGGCCGATTCCATACTGAAGATCAAATGGCCAGAAAGAATTAGCAACAAGAAACTATGGGAACAAACCAACAGCAAGAGCCGATCGCTCAACAAATATGTAGGAGAAAGTGGAGATGGACTGAGCATACATTGAGGAGGCCGCCGAATGACATCGCACGCAATGCTGGTCATTGCTTGAGTGGAATCCCAATGGGAAGCGACGAGTGGGTCGTCCGAGGTTGACATGGAGGGGATCGTGTGAGGAAGAGATGAGAGAATTCGGTCAATCGTGGACCCAGCTGAAGAGGACGGCAGAAGACGGGACAAAGTGGAGATGTGTTGTTGAAGCCCTATGTTCCATTCGGAACGCAAAGGAATAACGGATAAATAAGTATTATCCACGGTGTGCTCCAAAGGGTCAAGTGCCTCATGGTGAGAAACACAGTGAAACCTTTGAAGTAAAAGTATCACAAGACTGCATGCTATCACTGACGATAATTTTGATTGTGGTAGACTATCTTTTACTGTAGACCGTTGGGCTAACGAAGAGACACTGGAAGATCTGGAGTGCGCAGATGGTTTATATCTAGTGTCACACAAACTCAAAGGTCTACAGGTGAAAACCAACAGGTTAGAGTAGGAAGGGGGCATCAAAGACACGATTTCAAGTGAGCATAAAGAAGACGGAGGTGATAACCAGCAATAACAAGGACCAGTCACCTTCAACCGGAGAAAGTTGAAGGAATTCACTTTCCTCACTTATCTAGATAACATCGTTTCAACCATAGGCGATGCGTATGAAGATGTGAATGCCAGGCGGCATCGGAAAAGCAAAACGGACCTTCATTATTTTGAAATCCATATTGAAATCCACTGCAGTAATTGTAAGGGAAAACATCCAGATCTTGTGTGCAGTCGTGAAATCAGAGAACAGACTGCAATAGAGGTGTGCTGATGATGAAGCCCTATGTTCCATTCGGAACTCAGGGAAATAATAATAAAATAATAAAGGATTACACAATATATCTTTGGAATTCGACGGAAATGCTCTAACTTTCTTCTTTTCATGTTAAGCATAGGATAATGAGGAAATCTGTGTGGAGGTCAACAGCACTCAGCATCAGAAATAAGATCCGGATTTTCAACTCCAATGTGATAGTCAGTGCTACTATACGGATCAGAGACTTGGCCAGCGCGTCAT